TAAACATTATATCCTCTATTAAAATCGCGCGTACCTAATGAAGTTCATAACCAGAGCTTTTATTCCTGCGATCCTCGGCGCCATTATTTTGAAACATCTCATTAAAAGCAATGGTCACAGTGCACACAATGCACTTTCACACCTGAGTTTGGATAAGTTCCATTTATTGCAGTTGGCTACAGGGAAAGCTTTTTGGTTGCACATTTATATGCAAGAAAAGTCCTATTGGAATGAACGGGTCTTCTTTTAAAATATCTTGCAGCTTGTATCTTCACTTGGAAGATTTACTCTGAATGGAAGATTAAAAGCAATGGTCACAGTGCACACAATGCACTTTCACACCTGAGTTTGGATAAGTTCCATTTATTGCAGTTGGCTACAGGGAAAGCTTTTTGGTTGCACATTTATATGCAAGAAAAGTCCTATTGGAATGAACGGGTCTTCTTTTAAAATATCTTGCAGCTTGTATCTTCACTTGGAAGATTTACTCTGAATGGAAGAAAAACAAAGGTGTGTGTGTGTGTGTGTGTGTGTGTGTGTGTGTGTGTGTGTGTGTGTGTGTGTGTTGTGTGTGTGTATTTTCATTTTCAGAGTTCGGTCATGGCTTTACCATAGACAGCCTCCGAAAGAGATGGGGGGGATGATCCTGTTTCGTTTGGATTTCCTCATTCTGAAGGTTATAGATCTGGGGAATGGTGAGGATGATATGTCATGAATTTGATGATGCTTCTCTTTCTCATCTGTACCGTTTCCTGCTGATAGTGCTGACTAGGATGGGTTGGAATGTGAAGTGCCTGCTGCACAAGTCTGATGACGGTTTTTGTTTCTCAGGAACTTTTGTTAAGTTCCTTTGGAATAGATTGCCTTGACCCTGATTTTTGAAGTAGTTTTGAGGGTTCTGCAGGGCTTAATTTGGTCCAGCAGCAGAAACCCAAATGAGGAACATGAAGATGTTCTCCTGGGACTGTCAGTGCCAATTATGGATGTTGCCATTTGTCAGCTTTTGGAATGTACTGGCATAAGTATGTTTAAGTATTTGGAATGTGAAAAATCTTACAAGATTTCTTGTTTTAAGTGAGGCAGTCTTGCTAGCTTTTTATTTCTTGTTAATTTTTCCACACAGTATACCAAAAGGTTTCCATGGAAAGGTTGTGCATATGCTCTCACACACACACACACACACACACACACACACACACACACACAGAGAGAGAGAGAGAGAGAGAGAGCACTGAATTTCCAGTGACCTTAAAAATATCTGAGAGTAGTGGTTGGAAGGTGAGAAAAATTTTATTGAAGGTCAACATTTTCACATTGAGGAAGACATAAGGGTATTTATTTGTTTGAGGCTCTTTAATAGCATGCCCAACAGATGCAATATTTTGTAAAATTAGAAACTACTGTGGACAGGAATGGCTCTCGGCTATTGTACTGAGGATTAAGGGCTCCCTGAGTGCATTGACACAGTAGAAGAGCCAGTGTGGTTTATCGTTCCAATGATCCGTAAATAAGGGGTCAGTAGGAGATTTAACTGGCCAGTTCAAATCCTTGCAGTGGTGTCTGAGGGGTGTGCCAAAGCAAGAAATATGTCAGTGGAAATAGAGACACTTGAGAAGATGTCATCAGCTTTACCCTTTTCTACAAGATGAGTAGACTGGTCCTTGAAATCTCCTGTTACAGCTGTTCATGGGCTCTAGTCAATGAGAGCTCATCTACCAAAACAATAAACTACCTTTCTATGCTATGCTGCAAGGATTTGTTGGTTTTGCTATCACAGACTAACAGGGGTAGCTGTTATGAAAACCTTTTATGCAGAAATTAACACTGATGAATAATTAACAATTAATTACATTTCATCTTCTGCGGGATACCCCTTGGATGAAACTGCAGGCCAAGTTTTACTGATGTCCCTGGCAGTATTTTCACTGAGTTCATTGAGCCAAAACACATTTGTTCTTCTACTCATATCATAATAGTTCTAAAACAGTCCTAAACATGGAATTAGATGGCACAGCAGTAATACTATTGCACATATATGGTGAGTCCAGAGGTGTGATTGCAGCCAGTTATGGACCATTGAAAATCAAACAAAATGCAAATTGTCTACACAATCCATGAAGAGTTGGTATTCCACCTGATGAAGTGGGATTCCTCCATGAAAGCTTGAAGCTCATTTTATTTTATTGTGGTCCATCAAAAGTATTATCTAATTTTGCACAAATAAAACCTGTAAGTCTTAAAGGTGCCACCATACTTTTTATTGTCTTTGCACCAACAGATTCACATGGCTGGTTGGCTATCTCCTTGGGGTGGATATGGGTGGGTGGGTAGGGTACACATGTTATATGAGATCCACTCTCTTCCACTCTCGTTTCAACCAGAACCACAATTACTGCCATGGAAATATATTAACTTGTTTCCAAGTATTCAGGAATGGAGTGTCACTTTGAAAAAAGCCAGCTCTTGTACAAGTGCAACAAAAGCTTACAGAAGATTTTAAATAAAAAACAAAGAAAATGCTGTGTATAGGTTTTCCTTTTTCTTTTGTTGTGTTTTAAATTGCTCTTACAGTTTTAAATAGCAGTGGACTTACCTTTATGCAGTGGCACATTCTCTGTATCTCCACCACCTTCAAACCTTTTCCAGGAGACTCCTTTCCCAGTAGATGGGGGAGGGGAACTGAAGGAGGAGGGGAATCTGTCCCACAAGAGGTTCCATTAACAGTGTTGGATATAAACCAGAGTCATTAACATTAGGCACCAAAACCATTATCTGAAGAGACAAGCTTTCTCCCATCCTTAAAGAGGCTATCATGTCAACAAAAGAAACTGTATCAGGTATGAACACCTACATTCCACTTTTCAAGTTGGAGAAGGATAAAAGGATTCCAAACAGAAAGGTACCAGCCCAGCTCGATGGCTTTGTCTGTATATTCCCTTTTCCTCTGCTCCTTCAGGAGACATCTAAGGTATGTGTCCAGCTGTTCCTTTGGCAACTGAACACAGGTTCGCTTCCTAAAGCTTCATACCTCAGATCATAAATAATTCAAAGGTAGACATAAGCACTGCTGAAATCCATTACAGATCATAAATAATTCAAAGGTAGACATACTGTAAGCACTGCTGAAATCCATTCTCTTCCTTCCAAATGGGGTATGGGATCAAGATACCAACTAGCAAGGATGCCAACCTTTCAACCACACTCTGCATTGTGGCCTTCAAGAACAGTATGGACTAGCAAGTGATAAAGCTTGCCAATCTTCATGCCAGGTTATACTTCACTTGCTAACATTTACAAATCAAACAGCTTATTCCTTAAAAGGTATAGTAAGCAATCCTGGATTTTAGGCCATGCTGCCTTAATGATATGGATATGCATCATCGTTTAGTCCTTTAGTCGTGTCTGACTCTTCGTGACCCCATGGACGAGAGCAAGCCAGGCCCTCCTATCTTCCACTGCCTCCTGGAGTTGTGTCAAATTCATGTTGGTTGCTTCGAAGACACTGTCCAGCCATCTCATCCTCTGTCGTCCCCTTCTCCTCTTGCCGTCACACTTTCCTAACATCAAGCTCGTTTCCAAGGAGTCTTCTCTTCTCATGAGATGGCCAAAGTACTAGAGCCTCAGCTTCAGGATCTGTCCTTCCAGTGAGCACTCAGGGGTGATTTCCCATTTCTATAAGGACTTGCCATAGTTTGCTGTGGTCCACATAGTCAAAGGCTTTTGCATAGTCAATGAAGCAGATATTTTTCTGGAACTCTCTGGCTTTCTCCATAATCCAGCGATATGGATATGCACAACTGCTTTATTGAAAATTGAAGACTCAATGCGGTGTGTGAACAGAAAAGGCGAAAGTGTGATACACCCTCAGAAACATTTGGCCTTGCATGACCTTTATTGAATCACTAAAATGTTAAAAGGACAAACTTTTGAGTTCTAGCAGAACTCTTGATCAGGCAAAGATGGTATAAAACCTGGGGGTAAGGGAAAGAGCAAATAGTCTACAAAATTGTGTTGGATATTATGCCTGTTCTTGAATGCAGACTGCTAGTAAGCCAATCGGAATCTTGCTGTTTTAGTTAAAGTATTAAGGCATCCTTTTAAAACCTCTCTTTTAAAACCATGTAGGCAAGACTAGCTTGGACCCCTAAGAAATTGTTAATTGTTGTCTCTTTTGGTGATTCAGATCCAATTTTTTTTGTCATCCAGTAGACATCATGCAAGCCAAAACTATTTAAGAACAGGTGAGCAATGCACCCTGCAGCTCTCCTCACAATCTGTGAATGGGTTATGGCTTCACATACTTCTAATTTAAATGCTAGTAGAGCTCATCTACAATACCAGGAAGAGAACTTCTAGCCCACGTAGCGTTTTTATTTCAGTGGGCTGAAGGATGCTTTAACTTGGTTTAACACCTGCCAACTGTAGTTACAGTCCTTGCTGCAAAGAAATGTTGCGTGTTCTGCACTTCACACAATACAACTCTACACAAAGCCAGCCTGCTGTGGTAATTGATAAATTGGGCAGCATTTGGGAAATCCAGTTTCGTGAAACTGGCTCTCTATCAGCCAGTCATACTTTCTCAACCTAACCTTCTTTTCAAGAGTGTTGTGAAAAGAAAGAGGAGGAAATTCCTATATACTGTTTGAAGGTTATTGGAGGAAAGGCGAAATGTAAATGCAACTTGTGAGATACGATCCCATCTTTTTATGGCCAAGTATTTACTCTCATCTGCCACTGTATCAGCAGTCTGAAAGATTGGGTTGTCACTTGGTGATGCACTCCAGTTGTGAGTCCCAAGCAGACCTCTTGAACTAACAGGAGCTTGTGTAACTGTCCATAGACTATTCAGTAATCATTTCCTTGAATTTACTGTACTTGGGAATACAGTAACCAGATTCAGGTCTGTTTCCCAAGGACTATAATCAACTTCATGAAGTTGTGTGTTTCTCGGCCTATTAAAACCACAAGGGAGAAAATAAACACTACAGACAAAGGATACATACAGACACTTGATTCCTTTTTATTTTAACATTGTGGCATAGGTTTGCAATGGCAGTGGTACAGACCGGCTCAGGAACCTTGTTTATCAGATTTCTTTCAAGTAATACCTAAAATTTTGATTCGTAGCTACATTTTGTGAATGAAAAAACCCCACTATAAAAATAAACTTACATTCTTGTAAATAACAACAACAAAAAAGCAAATATATAGTGCCCTTTGGCTTAACCAAACAAGGAAAAAAACAACACAGAATAGACTACTGGGTTTCAACCGAAGTTATCCGCTTTTGACATAAATAGAAAATATAAGTTAGTAGAACTCTTTAAGTTGTTGTTTGTTTTTTCTTTACAAATATACATTTTTGCACTGAAAAAATCAGCAGAGATTAAACATTTATATAAGTGACTTTAAAGCTTTTACACTTCTGGCCAGTGTACTCACATTAGGCATAATACTTTTTTATATATAAAACATAATACATTGCACAGTTGTAAATTAACACTGCTCCGTCAGGTGGCTTGTAGGTCAGCCACTTTTGCTACATGGAGGCACAAGCAGTTCCTTCTGAGGCAGAGAAGAAGAGGAGGAACAAAACAAAAAAACTGAACCAAAAAAGGCAACTCTTCTTCCAAACTCTTGGTCTTCTCTCTTGCCAGTCAGTCCCTCGGAGGTGCAGAGAGGAAGGGCCTCTCTTAAACTCTTGCGTTTCCAGGGAAACAATCACTTCGGTGTTCTATAGTGCAAAATCTGCAAGAGAAGATGATTGGTGTTAGGAACTGTGCACAGAAAATGGCAGGAGACCATAGCTCAATTACAAGCACATACAAAGGACGGCCCTCATCTCCTCTCGTCCCTCTCCCCCTCCCCTGGCCAAAATCAGCAGATGAGTCAGCAAAAGCTGTGGAGCCAGGCTGCGGGTGGGTTGGGTCTTGCTTTTACACTATGCAGTTCTCTTGTCCATCAGGAAGTTACTCCAGATCTACAGGACAGGAAGGAGGAGACCAGGCACTAAATGACCAGCTACCTCCTTCTCTTGCAAGTCTTGGACACCAAACACAAAAGCAAACAAAACGAAACAAAAGACAAAGTAACAGCTATCTTTTAATGTAAACTTTCCTGGAACAAGTCTTGGTCAGCTGCTTTTGAGCAAGAGGGCTCCTGTCCTAGCCAATCCTTGCTACTTCGTAAGCGCAGGGGCCCATCTGAATTGACCAGTCGCCCACTAAGCTCACACCCCCTAAACACCATCCAGCCTGTTTGGAATTACTACCACCCTAACTCCAATGTCCCAAGTTAACTCTGTTCAAAGTCACTCCCACCTCATCTGCCATCCAGGGAGTAACAGACAAGAGCTGAAAGATCGGTCTGAAGGGGATGGGGAAGGCGGGATCCTCCAGTGCACGTTCTCACCTCGGCTTCATCGGAGCCTTTTCCGGGGGGTCTGCTCGGCAGGCACCGCCGTGACAGAAGCTGGCAGCGAGCTCGAATGATCTCCGGCCGCTTTCGAGTCTACGACCCTTTTCCGCTTGGCGAAGAAATCTAAGGGAATCGGATCCAAGGAAAAGGAGGGAGGAGAGCAGAAAGAAGGAGCAGAGGGGGGCGGGGAATTAGTGATCGAGTACGTGCCCCACCCAGGATCACTTCACCCCAAAGCCAGGAGTCTGCAGAAACACCGCCCCACCCGAGTCGAGTCCGGCAGAAAAACAATCGCTTTACGTGGAACAAGGGACCCGCCCTGCTTGGCTCGCCGGCGCCCGGTCCCCGCGCTGGTCCCTGGCTCCCCCTATCGACCAAAGCGGGGATAGCAACTACAAGGGTTTGTTTACGTCGCAAGGGAAAGCAGCGGCGGCGGCGGCGGCGGCGAAGAGCTCGCGCCCGCGGAGCGCGATGTGCTGCGTAAGCATTTTCCTGCCCGGCCCAGCCAAGCCCCAGGGAGCAGCGCGGAATCTTAAAACAAGAGCCAGCGGCTCCGGAGCGACGTTGAGACACCCCCTCAGAGCATACAAAAGGCTGGAAGGAGGGAGGGAAGGAGGGAGGGGGGAGGAAAAGG